AGCAGGATGTTGGTAGTTATTGCAGAGCCTACATTACTTGGCTTCCTCAAATGTTAATAACTTATGTTTAGTGTGAAAAAAGAAAAAAAAAAAGTTGATAGATACATTAAAAATAGTGTGCAGGATGTTAAATTTAATTAGCATATTTCAAAACATTAATACTTGTGAACTGTATTATCTAATGATGATGTCTTTTGCAGTAAGTACATTTTTGTCTATGTGATATATGCCAGGCAGAGCTTTGCTGAAAGCTGTCAGCAGATTAAAAAATTAGAGCTTCATCTTCTTGAGAAGGTATAGAAAGAAATTCACTGAAGACATTATATTATCAAATGTTAGTTTTCAACATTTTAGATTAATTTAAGAGATGTGTTGATTTGTTGTGCCTGCTCTCAAAGATATCTTTATATTAATTCCACATGATTGTCTTGTTGCTAGCTCTGTCTTTTAAAATGTGAGGTTGGCTCCTTGGATATTATTTGGAAAAAAAAAAAAAAAGATACAAGCAAAATGAAGTTAAAAAAAGAGCACGTATTCATAGGAAAATAGTTTTGAAAAAAGACAACATGGGATCGTTTTTCTCTTGCTGTTGCTTACACCGTATAAAATTTGATAGTAAGTCTCACTGACCTTCGGAATACATTGCTATTTACTTAAAATTTACTTTTCTCATAAAGCCTATTGAATGCACATTTTATTAAATGGTATTGTCCCATCACGTGCCAACAAATGCAAAACATTCATTGGTGTAAGGAAAGTTAGCTAGCTCTGTGATGTGGGTGTTATTTAAAACAGAAATCCTTCTTTCAGTCATTTTGTTCAGATGGATACACACTATTTCTTTCAACTCCCTTTCACAGAGAACAAGCGTAACTTTAAATCACGTGCCACATCTTTGAGTTTTGGGAAAGAGCTGTTGCGTCGTGCAGCCAGGAGACAGTCTAAGTGAGAGGCAATCCACAGTTTCAGGAGGGACTTTTCAAACCCGCCACACATAACAAGACTTCACCGTCTTTCCATCCTCACCGCTGAAACATTGTTGTAACACTTTAAAGTGTCAAATCAATCAAGGCTCTAGGCACACATTTAAAAGTGTACTGTGTGTTTTCGCTTTGCAGGTTTCAAGAACACTTCTTCAAATTCTGAAAAGTAAGTGAATCAAGGCTTACAGCATGAGAGGTGTAAAATACATCCGTCTTACAGATTTCACAAGGCTGCATAAGTTCTTGGAATATCCAGAAGTTTCATAACTAATGATGATACATTTTCAAAATGACATTGAAGAGTCTGTTTCAGCACTAAAAGCATGACATGACTATTGGATATCAAATCTGGAGAAAGAGCAATTTCGGCTTTGCCTGCCCAAGAATTTTTCTACCTGCCATTAAAGGACATTATTTCTGTAATGGCGAGAGACAGAATACTGCCTTAGCTGAACTGTGCCTATCATCAAGTTTCCACCCTCAGTCAGTTTGCAGATGACACCCAGCTGGGTGGGAGTGTTGATCTGCTCGAGGGCAGGGAGGCTGCAGAGAGACCTGGCCAGGCTGGAGCCATGGGCTGAGCCCAACTGGGGGAGTTTCACTGAGGCCAAATGCCGGGGGCTGCCCTTGGGCCACAACAACCCCCAGCAGCGCTACAGGCTTGGGGAGGAGTGGCTGGAGAGCTGCCAGTCAGAGGGACCTGGGGGGTGATTGACAGCCAGCTGAACAGGAGCCAGCAGTGTGCCCAGGGGGCCAAGAAGGCCAATGGCATCCTGGCTTGTGTCAGCACTAGCGTGGCCAGCAGGGACAGGGAAGGGATCTGAGCCCTGGGCTCGGCACTGGTGAGGCCGCCCCTCGATTCCTCTGTTCAGTTTTGGGCCCCTCACCCCAAAAAGGCCATTGAATGACTCGAGTGTGGCCAGAGAAGGGCAACATAGCTGGGGCAGGGTCTGGAGCACAGGTCTGCTGGGGAGCGGCTGAGGGAACTGGGGGGGTTCAGTCTGGAGAAGAGGAGGCTGAGGGGAGACCTCCTGGCCCTCTACAGCTCCCTGACAGGAGGGGGCAGAGAGGGGGGATGAGTCTCTTGAGCCAAGTAACAAGCGACAGGACAAGAGGGAATGGTCTCAAGTTGCACCAGGGAAGGTTTAGACTGGCTATTAGGAAGCATTTCTTTGCAGAAGGGGTTGTTGGGCGTTGGAATGGGCTGCCCAGGGAGGTGGTGGAGTCCCCATCCCTGGAGGGGTTGAAGAGTAGAGTCGACACAGCGCTGAGGGATCTGGTGTAGTTGGGAACTGTCAGTGTGAGGTTAATGATTGGACTGGATGGTCTTCAAGTTCTTTTCCAACCTAGACTATTCTGTGATTCTGTGATCTGTTACACAATTGCACAAGTGAGAGAATTCCTGCAGTTTAGAGAGAGGAACTAGTTCTAAGCTATTTTGTGGTCAGGCAGTGGGACTAAGTAGGTCCCTTTCAACTCCTATTCTTCTATTCTATTCTATTCTATTCTATTCTATTCTATTCTATTCTATTCTATTCTATTCTATTCTATTCTATTCTATTCTATTCTATTCTATTCTATTCTATTCTATTCTATTCTATTCTATTCTATTCTATTCTATTCTATTCTATTCTATTCTATTCCATTCCATTCCATTCCATTCCATTCCATTCCATTCCATAGTGAACAAGGGGCCCATGATATGGGACGTAATTCAGGCACTGCCCTAGAGCAGCCAGCTATCTGCAGGGAGCTCCATCAGATGTAGGTGAGAAGAAGGAATGTGAAATGACTCTGTTCCATGGGTCCTCTCATGGAAGCTCTTTGTCTGGTCCGGATCCATCGTAAAGGTAGGAAGGGTTTCAAGGGTTTCACCTTGAAAGGTGAATGACCCAGGAACAGGATGAAGTAGGAGGAATCCATACTCTGATGTGGGGACCCCAGTGACCACAGGGAGATATCAGGGACAAGGCACACTGCATAGCAATACATTATGAAACATATATTATAATGGCTTTTAAGTTTTTTTATGATCACTGCCTGGTTGCAACATTATCATTTGGTCCCGAGTCAATTACTAAACCTTTCTCATGCCCTAGAGACACCCATAGCTGTACCTCACATAAAGCAGTGATCATAACCGTCTTCCTTCCAAAATACGCTTAAATGAAAAAAAGAGGTTAGTGAAGGTCTACTTTTTACCAGTCCACTTTGTAGTGAGAAAATGTGTCAGGGGAATAGGACACCTGATATGATGACAGTCTGCAGTACAGCCAACATTTGTGAAGATGTACTGTAAGCACGAAGTTAAATGCTTAATTTGGTATAGGCGAGGAAAACATTCTGTGTTCCACCCATCAAAGGTATCTCCCTTTGGAGAGAAAAAAAAATAATATTCCTTGAAGCAAACAGGAACAGATTAATGTCTCTAGCACAGCACAGGATATCTTGGGTTTACCTGCTCCAAAGGTTGTTTATAGCATCCTCAACCTATTAGTTGTTACTACCTCTCCAGATCTTGTCTCCCCTATGTAATAGTTATTCATTTTATACTAAACTGTAATAGATTAAAATTCTGGCATATTTCTTAGAGTGGTATCAGTTCTTAATGTTCTCTGTTAGTAATCTGTGAACCTAGAACTTGGTTTTGTCCAAGTGAAAGACCTAAATATGCTTGTGGCAAACAGGAATGTGGATCCGACCCTCCTTCACCCAAGAAAAACATTCAGTGAAGGTTTTTCCATATGTTGGCAAAAGCTGTCTTCAGCTCTGATTGTGACCTGTGGCTGGGGAGGGTTATGGACATCACAAGCGAGAACTGTGCAATTAGTTCCGGGTGTGGGCACTGTGCATCTGTGCCAACACCTGAGCACATCACCAGAGGCCTCCATCTCTGCTCCCTGCACTAGAGCATCACGGATGTGTGTGTTCAATAGCATGCACGGGCCTTGTCTTATTTTTTTCATCTGAAATGCATCTCCCTAGTTTGCAAATGTCTTTTGTGACTTTGTCAAACACGCCACCAAAGCCAAGCTACCATCCACTTGTCCAAGTTGCTCACTGAAGAATGTTTGGTTTGGCAAGATCAGCTCATCATGAATCCATATTGGTACTTTATAGTCCACTGTAGAAAATGGCAGGCAAACGATTTGCTCCATTCTTTTCCTGGATATCTAAATTAGGCTCATTGACCTTTAGTTCCCTGGATCCTCAAGGGTGAGATATATGAGGGCTGACTTTTACCTCCTTACACTACTTCTTTCCTCTTGTGAGTGACCGAGAAATCAGTTCTTGTAGTACGGATTATGATGGAAGGGAATAGTTTTCTAGACCAATTATTCATAGTAAATGGACTTTTCTAGGAGTGGGGGTAATGGGTCTACCCATTCCCTCGGTGGTAAGAACACTGGATTAGCTATTGCATTACCATCATTCTTACTTGGACTTGTGTTATTTATTTAAGTGTGCGCTAAGTCATGTTCCAGCCCTCACATCTATGTCTCCAAATCACTTCATTTACTAGTAGAGATGTACCCAAATGTGACGACAGCATGCCATGGAGGGAAAAAGTGGTGGAGATGAATGAGAAAAAAACCAACCCAAACAACAAGCACTTTGAATTGTGAAACCAGGCTTTTAACTTAATGCTCATCTTTCATACGAGAAGAAACGCTACTGAAATGAATAAGCCAGAAATGTGTGTTGAAATTGTCACTGAAATGAATGAGTCAGAAATGTGTGTTGAAATTGTTTTGTGGCAAATAATTCCTGGGACTTGGAATATTAATTATGACAGCAGCTTCTTTACTAAAAGAGGACTGGAATGTGAAGCTATTGTGAGACTAAAATAATATTTAGTCCCACAGTTGACTGCACAGAAAAACACCTGCTTCCCAAAGGTCACAGAAGTGGGTATTGCATGTTATTTATGCTAATGGTCATTTCTCTCTGAAAGAGAGTCTAGAGGAAATTTTTTTGCCTGACTTTTTTTTTTTTTTTTTTTTTTTTTTTTTTACGACGGACCATTTTACAATAGAATGTCAGCATGTATGTCAGCAAATGACCCAGATTCTAAACTAAAATAGTTCTAATGGAGACTGCTCTGCTCTTCTAATTCCTTTTGAGAACTCCATATTTCAAGCAACCCTGTTTATCTTCTGATCCTGTTGACAGTGCAATTGTTTAAATTGTTGATCAAGTTAAGACTAGTTTCATGACAAAGGACCATCCATCTATGCTGAGAACATATGAAATATATGGAGCCACAGAACTTTAAACAATGCTTCTTAAATAACATTTTTGGAAAATAAAGATGTGATAAGAGAGTCATTAAATATATCTAGTACCCAAATGCCAAATTTCCATTAAGATCTCCTCTATGTGAAAGACCATTACACTAATAGAATGTATACATCCTCCTACAGCTTTTTCTGTGTGAGTCTCTGGATTGTAGTTAGTCCTGTGTATGTGGGAGAGGAAGGATAGAATTTGTTTCTGTGAAAGAAGTCACTAAGGAGCTAGATGTCCGGGAAGGGAAATGTTGAGCCTGTTATTTTATTTCAGTTTTGCATTGGCAGGAAGCAGAGCAGTGAACTTGATGAAGCTATGGGTACATCCGTGAAACTTTGCCAAAGCAGTTGGAATAAACATCTTCAAACTTTCAAAGACTTGCTGAAAATTAATTGAAACACAAAATTAATCATAAATGGAAAATTAAAACCTTCAGCATTTCCTTTCAGAATAATTTTTCATCAATATTTCTTTTCTCTGTATTTTTTTCCTCTTTGTTGCCATTTACTCCACAGCAGCATCCAAGCCCTTTGACCACACATACAGTTTTTTAGGTCTTTCAAGGAGATTGCTCAGTGAACATGCAAGGTGTTTGGAGAGATTCTTCCTCTGTACTGCAGCCCATGATGAGAATTAGGTTAATTCCATAAGAGAAGATTAAAATTAAATCTTGCATTATGAGACTCAGCCCATAAGCTTTTATTTTCTGTTAGAATTCTTAAAACTCAGATCTGCTGCTTGCTCTTATCAAGTGTGCTGCTACGGCTACTTGATCAGCCACCATGGTTCAAAGGAAGAAAAAGACAAAAAGATAAAGAAGTCCACTCCTTCCCTGACATTTCCTAGATTCAAAATTGAGAATTGCCTCTCCCGTGTATGGAAAAGAATATAAACTGCAACTGGAAATCTAGGGCTCAGACTGGTGTAAACTTATGTTTGACCTCACTTGCAGTCACTACATCTTCTTACATTAGGGAGTATTCATGAAAATTTCCATGTAGAGACCCAGACATTGTCATCTTGATTGGAGGTATCTAGGCCATATGAATATTTGATCCGTGAGGTGGAGGGTATCTGTGTCACAGCGTAAACCAACCACTGGTTAACATTTGCCCACCCTTATCATAGACTCCTTCTTTGGTTTCACCCAACAAGTCATCACACCTAAGTAAAGCAGCTACCATGGTGAAGTGCCGGTTTGTAATAATGCCTTTGGCCTTATATTTGAACAAATAATTTCAAAAACTTTACATTTGCATAAATTAATTGGTATTTTTCTAAAGCACCAATCATCCCCAAGACACAATTAAAACGCTTAAAACTTACTGCATAATCCGTTCTCACAAGCATCAGGGCAATCACCACAGGGTTTTCCTGCTTTGTAAGGTGTGTTAATTGAACTTCTTAAATTCCCTCTGAAACATCAACATTGCCAACGTAAGCTATAAAGTCACTATAGCATATCTGAGAATGAAACTTAATTATATGGATGCATACGTATATTAACTTTCACTCAGTTGTTGGTTACAATGTCACAATTTTTATATATGTGTTGGGTTTATCCAGACAGGTTTTGGTAGTGGGATGGAGGGGGAATTTGCAGGGGGGGTATCTGTGAGGAGACCAGAAGCTGCCCCTCTTTCAGACAGTGCCAGCCAGCTCCAGGTTGAACCTGCTGCTGCCTAAAGCTGGGCCAGCCTGTGACGGTGGTCGTGCCTCTGGTATCATATTTAGGAAAGGGTACAAACTGCAGCCAGTGAGTGGAGTGAGAATATGTGAGAAGAACAACTCTGCGGACACCAAGGTTAGTGAAGGAGGAGGGTGAGGAGGTGATCCAGCGCTGGAGCAGAGATTCCCCCACACCCGTGGTGCAGCCCATGGGGAGGCAGCTCTGCCCTGCACCCATGGAGGGGAACGGTGGGGCAGACACACACCCGCAGCCCGTGGGGGACCCCACGCCAGAGCGGGTGGGTGCCCAAAGGAGGCTGTGACCCCGTGGGAAGCCCACTCTGGAGCAGCTCCTGGCAGGTCCTGTGACCCCGCGGGGGACCCACGCCGGAGCAGTTCACACAGAACTGCAGCCTGTGGGAAGGACCCATGTTGACGTTCGTTAAGGGCTGTCTCCCATGGGTGGGACCCCACACTGGAGCAGGAGAAGAGAGTGAGGAGGAAGGAGTGGCAGAGATAACGTGATGAACTGACTTCAACCCCCATTCCCATCACCCCCACTGCTCGGGAGGAGGAGATAGAGAATTCAGGAGTGAAGATAAGCTCAGGAAGAAAGGAGGGGTGGGCAGAAGATGTTTTTTATTTCTCATTATCCTACTTTAACTGGAAAGAAATTAATTCTCCGAGTTGAGTCTGTTTTGTCTGTGTTGGTAACTGGTGAGTGATTTCCCTGCCCTTATCTTGAGCTATGACCTTTTTGTCATATTTTTTCTCCCTCTGTCCTGTTGAGGAGAGGGATTGATAGAGTGGTCAGCCAAGGTCAGCCCACCACAATATATTACAATGGGAATGTGAAAATTAATTTTAGACCATTTATGAAATCATCACTCTGCCTTAAAATTCCCACTAAATTTTTTTGTAATAATGATAGTCTTCACTGTAGTGTACATATAGATTTGCCTTTCTGGACCAAGATTGCAAGTAGAACGTGGAAAATATTTGTCATTTAGTATGATGAAAATTAGGATTTTTAGGCAAATTAAATTTAATCTGAAAATCAGTGTCACGTTTATGAGTTTTATCCTTTTTGCTTGTTTGACACTTCTTTTGATGAGTATGTTTCTGTCTTTTCATATTCCTGGTGCGCTCTTCAAACCTGTTCCTCAGCTATAGGTGATGTGCCCTATTACAAATTTCACCATCTCCCGACTAATTATGATAACATAATAAGTTCCAGAATCAGAATCAATACGTACGCGGGGCAGTACTGGCAGACATAAAAGTATTTAAATGTACTGTTGGGACAGAAAGCGACAGCACATCCAGTTTGATAAGAATTGTACCAAACCATCTGTAGGTATAAGAAGAAAAATCATGGACATTTGAAAACAGTTTAAGTACAATATACATTACAGAAACATTTGTAACCAAGTTAAATCACTTTATTTAACCTTTATAGTAAAATATAAATCCCACCTTGCTGGAAAAAAAAAAATTTCCCCCATTTTCACCCCTGAAACAAAAAACAATTAGGATGTACATTTATATAAAATGTTTGAGTTAAACTGTCTCAATTATGTGTTTTCATTCAATTAAAATTTTTGAAGAAGATGTAAGAGTCATGATGTAAAATTTCCAAACTCTGTTTCATGTAGGTGAACAGAGGAGATTATCATAAGCCATTATCCAACTAGAAAATCTGTGAGTCAATGGCACTCTATAGAATATAATAAACCTATTTATTTTTCCTTCCTGATACTTTAATAACCCTGTTCTTCCACTGTCTGAGCAATTTTCAGATGCTAGTGTCTGAGCAATTTTCTGACGTTAAACAAACAAGTTTCTTCCCTTTGTTTTTTCCTGATGTTTTGAAATACCTCTGTAAAGACACTTAGCCTATTATGTTCATTTTAATTCTGTTACTTTGAAATATTTAATCTTGTTTTGTCAGAATAACTCTCATGTCTCCATCTTACTCTCTTTAGAGAGGGTAAAAATTGCTTAGATAACATATAGATATTGATTTATTCAGCCTGAAGTATAAAAAAGTTGCATTTACCTGAGTGTAGTGACCAATCACAGCATCTTGGGTTTTTGCTCCAGTTCCATATTCAAAATTTTTCTCCTCACTGTGCCAGGCCTGAATAACGTCTGACCATGAGTAAGGGGCAGATGACATGAAGAGATTTTCACCACATTGTACAGCTGAAAAGAGAAAGGTACTGAGAAATACATGAAGGATACACCTGTGAGAAAAAGACAGCAAAAGGTAATATGATTTCCATGGAAGTTCTCATCCCAGATGGGACAGCAGGGTGGTGGGTTTTTTTCCAGTTCAGTGACATCACCCTTTGTCAATACTGAAGCTGTCACTGGCCCAGTTTGCAGCATCACTAGCCTGTTTGGCTGGTAGTCTGGTTGTTGACAGACCTTCTGCATGTCTGTAGATACACCTGCATATGTACACGACAGTTTCATGACTGTAATTTTGCTATTTGAAAGTTAGCAACCGAGTCATTATTTAGGTCACAGCTCAGTAATCTTGGGAAAATCCTAATAATTCAAAACTTACTTCTGGTACATATCCTCATACTGTTTTTTTGTTTGTTTGTTTGTTTGTTTTTTCAGGTACAACCCTACTGTGTATGCATTAGTTCTCACCTGGGATTCACCTTAGGAAGAACCAGAGGATTTGATTTTTAGGCACAAAGTATGGAGACTGAAGGACAGTCCACATCTTACATACCGTATAGACAGAAGTCAGTCACGTTGACCATGGCCATCAGCAAAGTATAGCTGTAACTTCAATATCCAGTTATTGAAGTGTTTATATGAGCCTCCAAGATAGTTATAGGTTGAAAGCTACCATGGGATTTAAAAGCTGAGTCTTGTCTTAGAATTTATTCTTAGCACTACCAGCCAGTTTTGGTCCTTCACCCTTTGCCTCTTCCTCCCCAGACAGTTTCATCCAGCACATTCAAGATTGAGAGAATATGTTTTCTCATAATGATTTTTTTTTTTTTTACCTACTGAAGAAAATGGGATATACTTACGTAAAACAGATGCAATTAGGATGAGAATGGGCTTGTACTTTTCTCACCGGACAGATTTATATCTAGAATTTTGCCTTTGTCCCATGCACGAACAAAATCACACTGAATATAAATGGTGCCTCAAAAAAAAACCCCACCCAACAAAACCCCAACGCGTCACATCAATAACATGTATGACATTATTCAGCTAGCACTCATGCTTCACTTACTGGTTCTCCTCAGCGTAGCGGGACTGTGTTTTAAAGTACATTGATTGGCCCAGTTTTGGGCATTTTTTGCAGCCGGAGGACACCATAGCTTAATGAAAGAAGAAAATATTAGTCATTCAGACATGTACCAATTAATAACCTGTCATGAAGGAACAACATGTGGAAATTATCACATCACATCACATCAGAAAAATACCATATACAAAGTCCTTTTCTTTCCATTTTTTTGGGGTAGGGTGGTTAGGAACAATCTTATACACCCAGTAGAATAGAAACTGTGAAGACTGATGAAGAAGGCATCAGAAAGAAATTAACAATGCCATGCGTCATCCTTTTCCTCTTCTTTTCCCTCCAAAAGAAATAGACATTATTGTTGATGCACCATAAAATTTTCCAGACTTTTATTCCACCTGCCCAGCTTTCTGTTTCTCTTGGTGCTGGCCATGCTCAATCCTTAGGAAAGGTCTGGAGAGTGGTTTTGTGGTTAAATAAAATAATGTGACCTTTCATACCGTCCTGCGTCTCTCAAAGAGTCTGTTATTCATTAAAAATAGATATACAGCATAACTTACCATCTTCAACATGTTGCTGGCAGTTGGTTTTACTCCTCTCCTGAGGGTATTATGTGTGTCAATAATCAGCTTTTGCTGATCTGCGTTGCTAGTTGACAGAGCATCGAAACCTTCAGGTTCCTAAGTTGAAAAACATGTTATATTTCTTTTTGATTTGAATGTAACTAAATCCTGAATCCTGTCTAGGAAATATTAAAATACCAAAATATTATTATCAACCAAAGGGATGATCTTTGTGATGGAGGAGGTACTGTGATATGCTTTTTCTCCTAAGTATCTCTAGCGGTGCTTCCTTGTGGAGAAACACTTTCAGTATTTCCACAGCATAGAGCTGAGCAGTAATAACACTGGTTCCTGTGTCATATCTGCCAACCCTCTGCTCAGTTATCTGGAATGCCTTGTGTGCCTGTAGATTCTTAAATTTAGTCAAGTAAATTAGATTTATTTTAGTATTATTATACTTTCCTTCATGAGGTTTTGAGTAAATAGGATCTAAAAATCAGCTGAAGACATGAATGTGCTTATGACACGTTCCCCTTCTTCAGTATTTTATGCATGCCTATTAATGCTTTATTCCTGAAGGAACCTCTTCTTTTATCACAGGATCATCATAGACATCTTGTGGTACTTCAATAGGACATCCCACTGAACAAAAATTGTGCCTATTTTTTTTTCATGCTATAGATTTTCTTCCAATCACAGTATTTCTCAAAATTTTCACATGTTTTCTAATTAAAAAATAGCCATGCGAAGAACTCAGCCTTCTCTTTGCAACCATTCTCACTAGTCTTCTAGATGGCAGCATGAAGAACAGAAATTGAAGAACTAGGGGGGAATGTAGTCAAGCCTTCAGTCACATTAGTGTTTCTGAAGCGGAAGTAGCAAACTTCAAGCTTCACACTAAGTATGGGTTGGGAGGAACCACTTTAAGTGTGCCTTGAGTATGTTAGTTTGTGTAGCTGTTTGGGGAAATCAGTGATATGTGTTGAGAGGATGGGACTGTGAATAAAGGGAGAGGCACATATCTCAGCAGCTGTAGGATGAGAAAGGGAGAGAGTTGGGTAACTGCTGCCTGTAAAACTGTGGGGAAATAACAGGTATAGGGCTGGGTCTTTGGGAGATCTAGATCACAGGGTCTATGTACGGGAACTTCTGGAAAATACATTTATCTCTGACCCAGCTCGTAAATAACACTGTGTCTGTAGAAGGTTTCATGTGCAAGTGTGGAACCAGTCTGCTGGTTTGAATTTAAACAGACTTCAATGATAAATGTTTTCCAATTCCTAGATATCTAATCAGGCTCTTTCTGCATATGAGTGGATGATGAGTGGATTGAGAGCAGCCGTGTGGAGAAGGGCTTGGGGATATTAGTACATGGAAAACTGACTATAAGCCATCAACGTGCATTTGCAGCCCAGAAAGTCAACCCTGTCCTGGGCTGTATCCAGAGCAGTGTGGGCAGCAGGACGAGGGAGGGGATTCTCCCCCTCTACTCTGCTCTATGAGACCCCCCTGCAGTGCTGTGTCCAGCTCTGGGGGCACCAACAGCAGCAGGACACGGACCTGCTTGAGTGGGGCCAGAGGAGGCCACGAAGATGCTCGGGGGGCTGGAGCACCCCCCTGTGAGGACAGGCTGAGAGTTGGAGTTGTTCATCATCAGAAGAGAAGGCTCCGGGGAGAACTTATAGCCGCCTCCCAGTACTTAAAGGGACTACAGGAATGCTGGGGAGGGACTTGTTATCAGGGAGTGTAGTGATAGGATGAGGAATAACAGTTTTAAATTGAAAGAGGGCAGATTTAGATTAGATGTAAGGAAGAAATTCTTCCCTGTGAGGGGGGTGAGGCCCTGGCACAGGCTGCCCAGAGAAGCTGTGGCTGCCCCCTCCCTGGAAGGGTTCAAGGCCAGGTTGGACGGGGCTTTGGGCAACCTGGGCTAGTGGAAGGTGGCCCTGCCCAGGGCAGGGAGGTTGGAACTGGTTGATCTTTAAGATCCCTTTCAACCCAAACCATTCCACAATTCTGTGATCAGTGTGCATAGGAAAAGCCATATTCAGTCAGACCACAAATGCCTCAGGTCCCATCCAGATTTTCTGATTACAAAGGTTGCATCCTACCTCGCCAGTGGACAGACGCAACATAGCTGTGAGACACAGGAACAACACCGGCAGAATCATCTCTGAAAACAGAAGAGTGAGGATTTAATTAATCTTTTAAGGAGCTTTCATTTCTCTGAATACATAATGCATCTTTCTCCTGTGTATTTCCTGTTTTTTTACTCAAGTAGCAAAGTAGTGTTCTCCCTTTCTCCTTTCTTTTCTTTCTTTCTTTCTTTCTTTCTTTCTTTCTTTCTTTCTTTCTTTCTTTCTTTCTTTCTTTCTTTCTTTCTTTCTTTCTTTCTTTCTTTTCTTCCCTCCTTCTTTCCTCCTCCATTTTTAGAAGTTAAAAAGTAGAATTCATTCCCCCTCTGCACTTCCAAATTTCTATGAATCAACTACTCTGTACATCTCATTCTTCCTACTGTAATCCTGGACAAACATTTTCACCAGAATTCCAGGTACAGGAGGACATTCATGGTACCCTTACTGTAGGAAGCCTTCTGCTCATTGCCACACTGTGGAACAGCTGGGGTGGGATGCAGCTTTTAGCTTGTTTCTGTGTCTGTTACTATGATACTTCCCCTGCTCCCCATCGCCTGCTTTGACTGGACTGTGTTGGTTGAAAGGGGAATTAGACACTCAGCCCATGTGCAGACGTCTACACTTAGGTGTCTGAGTCAGGTTTCAAACCCCTTACTTAACGACCAGCACGTGAACCATGAAGCCTTGCACACGAGCTGGGGCAGAACTGGTTGGCACAAAAATTAATCAGTGCTGGTCCTGGGAAAGACTTGTTTCAGAAAGGTTTTTTTTTGTTTTATTTTTTTTAAAGAAGCCTCTTGATTATATTACAGGTAACATGGAATGACAACGGAAACGAGCCTTCTCTAACTGAAGAAGCAACCACCAGATCCTGGACTCCATCCAAGACTCTACTTGCTTAGGAGGCTCAAAGAACCATACCATCCCAACACAGTGATCCAGGAGGTAATGTGGGTCACTTCAAAGTTCAGGTGTCTGATTGCAATCAGTTATAGGAGTTACATTCATCTTGGTTTTGCTTAGTTACCTTGAGCAGCCTGCAGGTGACTAGAGTGGAATTTACTTATTTTGGCACTTGTCCCAGCCTCCTACTCCAAGGGAATTTATGGACATCTTGCCACAGAGATATGTTATTAGCTTAACTTCTTATTTGGTCTTGAGCGGCTGCTGGTTTCGGTTTTAATTTATTCTTGGGGAAAGGCCAATAGGGTTTGTTAATCTTTTCATATTCAGCAAAGCCCTTTTACCTCAAGGCAATCAATTTATATAAAACACAAGGTGCTCCAGCTTGTGGAAAACACGTGGATAAGAAAAAAAAAATCACCCTTTTCTAAACAGTACAGCAATGCCCATTTTCCTCACCAGCTTGCTTACATTGCACTGGAGGCAATGCACAGTCCCCAGCCTGCAGGCAGGGATGCTGCTCCAGCTCTACTAAAGAGCAAAGCCCGATGAAGTGGACCGTGACTATGGGTAGCTGTAGCTCAGAGGCCAAAAATCTGGACAGACTGGCCACATCTGTACAATTAAACTCTCACAGCCTTCAAAATACTGTGGCTCATTCCAAGCACTTGTAGTTGAGGAAAGATCTGGCTGATCCAGGGGAAAAACATTCTGGTAATTAACAGTATAAGTCATTGATTTCCTGTTCTTGTTATTGCCTTATGTCACATGTTTCATTTTGACATCACCTATGCTTCCTTGAAGTGCTTTAGGATCGCAGAAGTTCTTTCTTACTAACTTTTCCATCACTTACTTCTTAGAGTCATTACAAAACTTTGCAGAGTATATGACCTAGATATTTAGCAATAAAAAATTATACCCCCAATAACATGAAAAAATTATTCTTTTTACTTAATTTCTAAGTAGAAAGTAAATAGAGGTGGGGGTTATTTTTAGTGTACTCAAGTTACAAGCAAAAATATGTCTTTTGAGTGCAAAATGTGATGATATGCAAATAGAAAACAACTCTTTTTGCACCTAAAACATGTAAAAAAAATTTATTTGTTTCAAAGGAAAAATAACTCTTCATTGAAATTGTGAAGTTTTCTATTTTGCAAACCAAACTGAAGAAGTTAACTTAAAGGCATGGGCAAAGTGTTCATTCACTGTAATATCTTCTATGAATTAACTTACAATTAAATATAATTGGTAATTTAATACATGATACAAATTTCAAAATGCCATTGGAATGCTTTTTAAGACCCAGTGGATTTCCTGCTCCAAGATATTAACATACTTTTGGCAATCCCACTGATTTCAACCAAATGCTTATAGTTTATGAGATGTAAATTTAATTGCTCTGCATTAATTTCTAGGCACTGGTCCTAAAATCAGTCTCTCTGTCCCCCTCCCCTGTTCCCCCTCAATCAAACATAAATCAGGACATGTGCCAAGTCTTACTGACTTTCCTGCAACTCCATCTGTGTACAGGGATCTGCCACTGAAAGATGGTGCTTTAGCATCCCTAGTTTGTATGAGTTTAGCAAACTTGTGTGAATATGTTTTTCCCGTGTCATCACGTTAAAAAAGAAAAAAAAAAAAAAAAAAAAAAAGGTGTATCCTAAATTATTCATACAATTGAATATCCATTAAAAAAACCCATCCCCATTATTTTTTACTATCGTTGAAAAAGACCTGGAACGGAATAACACAAATTGTCATTTAACTTGGAGAGCGTTGTTGCACAGAGTCCTACTTACCAGCCACCTTGCACAAGAGTGGCAAATTGCACAAGGTGGTGATTTCCCCACTCTGAAAATAAGTGGTGATAGCTACATATAGCAATATAATAGACAGAACTGAATATATATCCAATTCAATATGTTCCGTCTGTCTCTGTCTCTTTCTCTCTGTAGATATAATCTACCAATATACTTGCTTTCTTGCACGCAGGTGGCTCTTCATCTGTTTTTGATCACTCATCCATTTTCTTTCCCTTTTTTTTCCAGCTTGTGTTACACTATTGTCTATGAAGTCCTTATTTTTCACCAAATAAAATCCTCTTTCTTGTGATTGCCCTAAATGTTCAGGAAGTCTTCTGACAATGGGTTGCATTTTAATACATGAAAAACATTGCAATTCTTTAAGCAAACAAAGCAATGTAAATTCTACCTTTTGTTTCCAGGAAGATCACAAGTTTCTTTCGTCCTTCTTCGGGTGGTTGTGGAAATGACCAGGCAGGGTTCTTCACTGGAGGGTGATATATAGCTCTTCTGTTTCCTGATAGGATAAGGTGACTCAGCGTCACAGGTATTAAAAAATTCAAATAGTGACCAGATAGAACAACACATTTATCAAGTGAGCATTCTTCTAAGAAGGAGGTTGGTTGTTTGTGTTCCATTTTTATTTCCTCTTACTTCTTGTACCGGAAGAGATGAAATACCCTGAAATGAGTTTTGTGTGTATTGCTTCTCACAAGTGAAATCAGCACTCAGTGGGAATGAATGCCAGGTACGAAGGCTCTCTGGTAATGATTGACACATCCAGTTGTAGTAAAACTTGATTTTAATCTCCAGAAATGCAAATCAACTCAGCTGGCTCTTGAGGTGTCTCCAGATTGACACTGTTGTAACCAAGACAGAATCTTGCCTATTGATATTTCCATGGGAGTAGAAAGAGTTATGGGTCAAGTCCCTGTTCATGCTATGGTTTCTTTACATCAGTCCTACAGGGTAAAAGTCAAAGAGGGAGACAAGAATATTTCTGTAACTTTTATCGAGTATTGGGTAAAGATTAAAAGATTATTGAGTGCACTAACATTAAAGCACATATCTGTTTCAACATTTCCAGGTACATGGAATAAGATGAGAATGGGTGGAAATACTGCCAGATCAGAAGGGTATTTGTGTGCATATTGACTCTTTCAGTCCACATTCAGTCTCAAGTAAATGCTGACTGGAGCAACTATCATTATCTGCTTTTATATAAAATGTTATTCTCCTATTTAAACTCAAGTCTTCCTTCCTCATAGTTAGTAGCTCCTGCCTTAATCCCTTGTGAGGTGTGCCTTCAGAACAATCTTACGTTTTTCATTACCTAGGAAACCAGTATATTGGCTCTACTAGACAAAATGGTAGTGGTGTGATTTGTTGATTTGTAATTATACAGAAAGAAACACCCTGTTAGTAAGTTTGGGGTTGACACCAAATTACAGAGCAGTCAGTGTGCTGCATAGTAAGGTTGTTGTTCAGATGAACCTTGAAAAGTTGAAGAAGTCATCTAACAGAAATCATCTGAAAATGCAGAACTGGGAGAGACCAATTTTCTTAGGGAGCAGGTCTAACAAGAAACATTTAAGGGTTGTTGTTGGACGGCAATTTTCATAGGATTAAATAGTGGTCCCTTGCAACAGTGAGGGCTAACCATGTTCTGTGCTGCATAGCCACGACGTGGCGAGAGTACTGAGAACAATGATTAGACCCACTTTTTCAGCACCTCCGAAACTGTGTCTGGATTATTGCATCCAGTTTTGGAGTCCCCAGTAAAAGAAAGACATTAACTGGAGTAAGCCCAGCAAAGGGCCACTCTGCCGGAAAGGGGAAAGGCAGAGATGGACTCTTTTGCAAGATGGACATGAGGTAAGGGCCACAGATTGCAACCCTAACTAGATATAAAGAAAAAAACATAATTTACAATGGGGATTGTTAAGCACTGAAGCAGATTGACTAGTGCGGGGTAGTTTTTGCATGCTTGAAGATATTCAAAACTCGACAAGGTGTTAAGCAACCTAATCTAACTTTCAAGTTGGCAATGCTCTGAACATGGTGTTAGACCAGATGAACTTCAGAGGTCTTGTACAACCAAAACTGTTCTAAGGTTGTGTGATTTTTATATTGTTTACACTGGAACGACACCAAATGAGGCTTGTCTTATTTTACTTGGTGACAGATATGACAGTTTAATTACAGTGGGAACCTCTCATTATTATACGAGAAAGCAAGTGTTACTAGCGTAATTGTTGTAACCATTAATAATGAAATGTGTTTTATTCAGGTGATCAGCGAACCGTGGATCCCAAAGTAAAGACTATATGCCACTACGCGCATGTTACTCATCTCTCTGCCTAATACACACTGAGACCCCTTGAATCAAACTCCTTTTCAAGTGTAAGAGCTCTCTATAAACCCAAGTGAATGATTCAGAACATCCTATTCCATAATAACATTTCTGTAAATAGACATTCTGTCATGGCACTTCATAAAATGCTCCTAGAGTTTATTATCATAGAATCCTAGAACAGCCCAGGTTGGAAGGGACCTCAAAAGATCATCTGATTCAAACTTCTGTGGGAAAGGGAACCTAGGTGAGAATATCTGGCATCCTGTCCAATCAGATCTTGAAAACCTCCTGTGATGGGGACTCTACCATGTCCCTGGGCAGGTTGTTCCACTGAATGATAGTTCTTACTGTGAAAAAATTATATTTTATGTTGAGGTGAAACCTCTCCCAGGGTAACTTGCACCCATTGCCCTCTGTCTTTTCTGCATGACTCCTTGTGGAAAGACAGCCTCTGTATTTGTACCTGCCCTTTAAGTCCTGGAATACTGTGATGAAGTCCCTCCCGAGGCATTCTCTTCTCCAGGGAGAAAAGACCTAACTTCAACCTTTCCTTAGAGGACAGGTTCTCCATCCCGTTGACCATCTTTGTAACCTTCCTCTGTATGCTCTCCAGTCTGTCTTCATCTTTCCCGAACTGTGAGTACCAGAACTGAACACTGTACTCCAGGTGTGTACTGACAAGCAGTGAGTAGAGTGGGATGATGATGTCTTTATCTCTGCTAGTTTCTGAGGATGCAGCCCAGGATCCAATTCACCTTCATTGCTGCAGCAACACACTGCTGGCTCATGTTCATCTTACTAGCCACCAGGACACTCACATCCCTTTCAGCAAGGTGGCTCCCAGCCACACAGATCCTAGACTGTACCAGGATTTTTGGTTATGATATGATATCATAACTCTCACACTGGTCATGGAGCTCCAGTTCCTTCTCATTGTTGGCTCTAATTTATATAAAAAGGACTTCTGCTAAAGCTTTTCTAGTGGAAGGACCACCGCCTCCCTGTGCCCAGGGGACTTAACACCACATGCCCAGCCAAGATGATGAAGCAAAACTAACTGCCAGGATGTGTATCGGGGATGGTAAAAGGTGGCTGTATCAGTTGGTTTTAACTTGACTGTCAAAAACATGCATTGCAGAAACACAGGGTTAGAAATGGCCTCTCTGGCTCTAGAGTCCAATCTCCTATTAGAGGCTGGTGATGCTGTACATTTATTTTCATAAAGCCCTTCTAGTTTGTATTTCCATGCCTTCCATTTCTAGACTTTAGATCTCATTTATCTTCACTTTAAATTTTCCCTCTCACAGAATTCTGTTTTTTTCTGGAGGCTTTAGTTATCATAGAATCATAGAATACCAAGTTGGAAGGGACCTCAAGGATCATCTGGTCAAACCTTTCTTGGCAAAAGCATGGTCTAGACAAGATGGCCCAGTACCCTGTCCAGCTGAATCTTCAAAGTGTCCAATGTTGGGGAATCCACCACTTCCCTGGGGAGATTATTCCAGTGGCTGATTGTTCTCATTGTGAACATTATGCTGATCTCAGGATCACAGAATAGCTGAGGTTCAAATGGGACCTCCGGAGATCATCTAGTTCAATCTTCCTGCTCAGAGCAGGGTCGCTTAGAACAGGCTGCTCAGGGATGAGTCCAGTTGGGTTTTGAATGTCTCTGAAGATGGAGACTCCATAACCTGTTCAGTGTTTGATCACCCTCAGTGTAAAAGAGTTTTTTCTCAAGTTTAAATAGAATTTCTTGTATTTCAGTTTGTGGCCACTGTCTCTCATTCTTTCCTGGGGTACCACTGAGAGGAGTCTGGTTCCATTGTCCTTACACACTCCCATCAGTTATGTATATATACTGATAGAATCCACCCCGAGCCTTCTCTTCTCTAGGCTGAACAGACCCAGCTCTCTCAGCCTCCCTTCATGAGAGAGATGCTCCAATCTCTTAGTCATTTTAGTAGCTCTTCTCTGGACTTTCTCCAGTATGTTCATTTCTCTCCTGTACTGGGGAGCCTAGAACTGGGCACAGCACTCCAGTTAGTGCTTAGTAGAGGGAGAAGGACCACCTCCTTTGACTTGCTGGCAATGCTCTGTCTGCAACCCAGGATGCAACAGGCCACCTTTGCCATAGCTCGTAGTCAACTTGTTATCTAGCAGGACTCCCAGGTCTTTCTCTGCAAAGCTCCTTTCCCACCAGTTGGCCCCTGGCATGTACTAACGTATGGGGCTGTTCTTCCTCAAGGACACGACTTGGTGTTTCTTTAACTGAATGAGGTTCCTGTTGGTCCATTTCTCCTTTCTGTTGAGGTCCCTCTGAATGGCAGCACAACCACCTGGTGTATGAGTCACTCCGCTCAGGTTTGTGTCATGTGCAAACTTGCTGAGGGTGTACTCTGCCTCATCACCTGGGTGATTAATGAAGATGTTGCCTATTATTGGCCCCAGTATTGAACACTGGGAGGAAACAACTGTTTTTCTGGTGAGATCTCCTCAGTTTATTCCGTCTTGTTTTGTTCTCAGAATTCATTTTAGTATGACTCTGAACTGAAATATCTTGTTATCTTGAATCAAAAATAAAAGAGTATTAGTCTTACTGTTAAAATAAGATCTGAGAAAGAAATGTAAATTCTTGAATGTTTCCCCCCCCAAAAAAAAAAAAAAAAAGTCTTTTTTTTATGCCTGGCTGGTCATTTCCATTAAATTTGAGAAATTAACTTCTTTGATGTCATTGAAGCTAGTAAGGCACATCTCCGTTGATAGCATATGGAGAAAAATGGACATCTCAAGGATGCGAATCGTTTCATCCTGTATTACTTATCTCAAATAGATTTTATTCACAAAAGCCTACAAATGTCTGGTTTACTTCATTTTCTCTAAATAAAGCCTAGAGCGACTAACTCAGCTGTAGACTTCTATACTGAAGATGTCTAAAGGTTGATGAAATAAATCACATCCACTGAGGAAGCAAAGTGGTCACGCATACAGAAAACATGATTATCTGAACCGCACTTCTCTAGTACATCACATTAAGTCTCAGACATTTATAATGTGTCTGTATGCCCGGCATTGCTAATGTAAATACAATTCCTTATATTTCTTAAAATTTTCATGACAGTTCTATCTAATCAGTCATAAGCTACTTGTTTCTGCTTTTCAGATATGGAGAACCTCTCTCTGTCTTCTGACATTCATCTTTCACCCATCCTTCAGACTCTGACAATGACTTTGT